TCAGCCTCTCTGCTCCTATGATGCTGCTTGGCCTGCTGTGTTCATCCAGCCCTGCACCTTGTTGTCTCGGATTCTCCAGCATCTGCAGTTCCTACTATCTCTGGCACATATTGTTGGAGCTTTTCCTCTTGCACCTACCAGGATGGTTCACAAGAAATACCAAAGCAAAGGGAAAATAATGTTTAGTCAAGGCATTTCTCTGAGAAATGAACCAATCAGAGCCTTGTTTAAATTTTTAAAGAGCTAGGCAGTTAACTTGGTCATCATTATCTAGTACATTTCTTCATGGCAACACCAGTCAGAGTCCACTTGCCAATCAATCAACACTCTGCTGTCCTAGTATAAATTTTGTTTTCCTTTTACTTTGGTAGTCCTTGTGAATTGTCCTGATGAGTACAAGACACAAAGTTTGAACAAAATGTTTCTTTTCCAGCAATTCTCAAGTCTGTTTTACCAAAATACCTGTAGATATTCTTCCCTTTATTTGTTCTTAACAGTATTGGTATTCATTAATGTTAGCATGTTAAAGGAGCATTTTATACAGTTTCCAGGTTATATTTTCAGTGTACTATTAAATGTTGATTTCTTTCTCCCCAGGCATGTATCTGGCGGTTTAGTTTTAGGGCTTGATTTACAGTTATTAAGTCTTTTGTTTTCACGTGTGAGCTTGGTTAAAATTTGTTGTGCCTACTTTTTAATCACCAGGTGTGCTTTGGACTGCAATACTTGATATTAAAATTAATCCATCATAATTTACAGAGTAACTCTAATATTGTACTTTTGCAATAAAATTGAATTTTTTGGTGGGCAATAAATGCTGGTCCAATCAGCGTGCTCACATTCTTAGAATGAGCTACAAAGCATATATACAAGTTCTGCATTAACAAATTGCAAAGTATTCTTCCAAAAGTTTCATAAAATTTCTAACTGGTCTAAATATAATTTTTTTTTTTGATTTTTTTTTTAATGATTCACCTATAGTTTCTGTAAGTGATTTTAGTTACTTTAGAGTCCGACATAACTCACATAATTTTGTTTCTTGCAGTATTTGCTGGATAAATATCTAATACCAACTTCGACCAATTCAGAGAGCAAAGTCTTCTACCTTAAGATGAAAGGAGATTATTACCGATATCTTGCAGAAGTAGCTGCAGCTGAAAGCAAAAAACGTAAGTTTTTTGTTGCTGGTATATTTTTCTGCAAACAATATACAGAAGGTATTTGTGATACTGCATGTTAACTCACCAATATAGTGGTGCAGAATGGTCAAAAAGTTTATATATGAATTCTTTAAATGCTGAACTACTAATCTGATCTTTGTATCATTTGAGGATGATGGAAACTTAAAGAATGATGCCAAAACCTTTGATGTTTTGGCCTCTGCTGGTTATGTATGAGGTTACACCATTCAATCAATTTGACTTGTGATTCTGTGTCTAATAGATAGAAAACTTTGATAGATTTAGAGGAGTGGGTTGTGAGGATGTACGCTGCAATGGGATGGAAGCAGTTGGGATATGAATTGGGAGTTGTGGAGAGGAGAACGGAGGGAGGGAGGGAAAGAGATAGTGATAGAGAGACTAAAATGACAGACGTGCAAGAGAATACTTTGGATAACAAAAAAAACCCTTAGTGATTACATAAGTGAGGATGCTGCTCAAATGAATGCTATTTTGAGGCTTATATTCTGTCTTGCCACAGAAACTGTTGAGAATTCCCAGACATCATATCAAGAAGCATTTGATATCAGTAAGACAGACATGCAGCCAACACAACCTATCCGATTAGGTCTTGCCCTGAACTTTTCAGTATTCTACTATGAAATTCTCAACTCTCCAGAGCAAGCCTGCGCACTGGCCAAGGCGGTAAGCAAAAATGTCAAGGACTACCTTTCTTAAATATTCTTCCTTGTTATCATTCAATAGGTATTGAGAGGGCAATGGAATGATTATTTGGATAGGAGTAGTGTGTGTGGATATAGGAAAGGGCAGGAGATTGTCACTAGGTAATAAGCCAATGCATGGTCCTTTGCACCGTAACAATTCTGTGATCTTGTTCATTGAATGTACTATGCCTGGATAAATTGTTACATGAAAACTGTACTACTTTTGTAGAAGACTTGGTCGCTCATCCTTAGTTTTCTTCTCTTCCACTTTAAAAAGGCATGAGAAGTTACTAAAATGTTAAGATATTATTTTTCAAAGACCAGTGAGAAATGTCAGATTTGTTTGACTCTTAAGCTTGGTTTTGAACTCAAATAAGCTTCTAACTGCTTATTTCTATTCCTGAAAAATTGCCTAGCGCTGCACTTACTTTAACTCCATTACTGAAATGCTCAGAATATCATCATCGTCTCCATTGTTGACAAATATGTGTTCTTTCCTGATACACTGTCCTCTACTTTCCATAAACTCCACCTTACCAAATTGCACTACCTTTATCCTGCCCTATGCTGAGTCCTGCTTGCTCATTGCCTGTTAGCTCCCAACTCCTAAAGCTTTGGTTTAGAACCTTTGGTGATGTCTTAAATTCCCCAGTAGTCCTGCTGTGCCCTATCCCTACAACTTCCTCCAGTTATATATCTGGAATTTATATATTTAACCATCACTGTTCATAATAAAAACAAAACAGATGTTAATACATTGTGTTTCTGTTTACTTCACTGTTTTGTCTGATTCTAACATAGCTAAATAAACTATGTGGAATAATGGGGTAAGTTGACCATATGACAAAAAATTGTAGACAGTAAGTGCAAAGTTACAAGTTCAAGCAAATGTGTAAGTATTTATTTCCTAATCGAGTTTTGGGTCTTTAAATAAAATGGAACTGGATAAATATCTGGCTAACAGGAAATCAAATATTAATAAAGGTAGCTGTAAAAATTGGCCAAATTCTATGATTATCGCATTTAAGGTCAATGGGAAAGATAGCCACAGAGTGTAATAATTTAAGAAAGAGCTTGTTTCACATTCAGCGAATTACTTTTAAATTTGTAGTCATTGTAGCGACAGTTAACTGTAACCAGCAAGGTCCTACAAACAATTAGATCAATTGGAAAATTTTTTGTGTGTTCTTTAGAATTAATTCAGAAGTTGTGGACAACAGAAGCAAGGAAGCACTGCAGGATCTCAGTTTATTTTGTGCTCTGGCTATATGCTACTATGTTCTTTAAAATCCAGTAATTTTCACTCTGAGGTTATTAATTACAGAACAGAATTCCAGTGCTTTACATGACTTATGTTTTGTGTGCATCTCAATCATGGTGTTTCACTCCAAAATAGCTTATTCTGTTAAGCTGCAATGTCCTTTTTAACCCCCATTTTTGCAACTGATTTATGGTACAGAAATATTTTTTGTCCTTTGCTGTCTTCAGGCATTCGATGAAGCTATTGCAGAGCTGGATTCACTGAATGAAGATTCCTACAAAGATAGTACACTCATTATGCAACTACTCAGAGATAACCTGACGGTGAGTAAAATTATACAACACTGTAGCAATATTTCAATAGATGGTTATTGAGCTTAATGTGAAGATTAAGGCATACAAAATCTAAACAGCTTGTTTTTAAAGACCATTAATAGAAGCTTCTATTTTTCAATATGATAATGTAAATAAGAGTGTTATGGTTAAGAATACTATTAAAATGTTTATACTTTCAAATCATCGTCAGGAATAGAAAGTGCATGTTACCCAAACTTATCTAACTTAACAGAAATTTGCAACATTGGCCAGCTTCTAGAAGAATGTTACTATTAAATCCTTGCAACTTCTTGCTTAGAAATCTAATGCAAGTTTAGGGATAAACAAGCATTTGAAAAATGTTTTGTCTTTTTTGCTGAACTTGTATACAATGTACAAATAACCCCTCACTGGTATTTGCAACAGTGCAGCATGGAGAATTCCCTTTAACGAAGATGTTAGAAAGCCCAAAGATAGGTTTTTAGCCTTCATCAAAAATTCTTCACTATTGAGATTCACCCCATTTACATCATGCCAATTTGCTTACATTGGTCTGGACTGTTGCAAACTTGCCCTTCTGTTTGACCCAAAGCTGATGCTTATCTCCTTCCTTGTGTTTTAAAAGATTTTTCCATACCCATCTTACTGATCATACATTCAATTACCTCCTCTAATCCTCTTGCTCCATTTTTCTCCATGAATCACCATTGATAATTTATTCTGTCAATGATAGTCTATTAAAGCAAATTGTAACATTAAAAATTATTCTTCATTTAAGTATTGAGATAGAATATGCCATTATAGCCATTCAATTTTAAATATGTGAGCATTATCGGACGTCAGACATAGCAAAATATCCGTAACAAATAGATAAGTCTGCGGAGGCCCCAAATGTTGAACTATTAGAAAGTTTGACATTGCAATGTGTATATTGCTTTTGTTACTTTAGAAATGTGTCTCCTGACAATTAAAAATGATATTTGGTATTCACAGTATTAATCACTAATTCTAGTTGTATATACTACGTTGTCAAAAGTATGTTTTTTTTAAACATAGGCTTAGAAAATTGTTGCTTTTCTTGCAGTTATGGACCTCGGATAATGCGGCAGATGATGCTGATGGTGGAGAGGGGGGAGAGAACTAAATGCACGGAAGGAGCTGCTGTCCAATCCTCTTTTACATGTCTTCATTCTTTAGTGTTCTACTGACAATTCCAAGAAAGGAATTTCTCAATCACCAATACTGAATAGATGCACATGTGAATGCCACAATTTAGCCTATGAAAATCTGCAGCTTGGAACAAATGCCATTCCTTAGCTTTCTTTTGCTAATTGTTCTGACTTTGTAGTGTGCAGTTGGGCACCTGCTACACAAACAGCAGAGATTAAATTTGCGGCGTATTTGTGAATAAGTTGATGTAGGTCCTTTTTGGTTTGCAAAGGAAATTTGATTGCCAAGCGCAGCTATTTTTAATGAATGGAGACTGGAAAATTACTAAAATCCAAAACACAGAATAGAAAGTGTTTGAAGAGCACTTTAAATATGGCCATTGATTCTTAAAGACTATTGCTTGAGATTTTAGGTTTGGAATGTGCATACTTTGGTACACACCAGAGAGTGTATGCCAGATATAAGCACATTGTTATTCGAAAGTTGTGTATTCAGCTTTAGTGTCATGGTCCTGAAGGTGGATCAATATTTATTAAAACAAGGTTTTCGGAGCTGCTTGGCAATCTAGCAATTTACGTTGTGTTCTGAGCTGGCTGATCAAGATTCAAGTCTCAGAGCTGTCTGATGTTCTGAACCCATTGCATAATGAGTTTCCTCTATTGCTCAGATGCCTTGCTGAAATCCCATTATAGTCAATTTTGTACTGCTTTTCATTCCTACTAACAGGAAGTTGCATGGCAGCTACTTGTCTTGTTTTTTGTTGGGTTGGGTTGGGTGGGATGGGGGTAGAAAAACAGGAAATTTTGTTTAAAAGCTGTGCATTAAAAGAAAGTCTCAACGACAACAGAATTATAAATAACTCCACCCCTCTGCTTTCTGGTAATAATGGACATTATAATCCTAAGTATGTAGCTTAGTGATCTTTCCTAACTCTGCTGAATTGATTTCTATGCCCATTCTTAAACCAGTCAAACTGTAAGATTTGTGACCCAATTTCCATCTCTACCAAATCAGTCACCCTTGTACTCCAGTTTTTTTTCTTCAGAAAACCTGACCAGTTTAGAACTAGGAAGATAGACTAGATTGGAAAAAGTAATGCAAGAAAGAAATGCAGTTTCAGCTAGGTTAATAAAAGGGAGAAATTACTGTTGGTACAGAATACCTGACTCTCAATCTGTGGTGTTTTGGTAAAAATGCAAAATGTTAACGGAACTATTTCCTATAGCTTATAGTAGTTTGGTATATTTCTTATTGGCTCATGCAGTGTTAGATGCTCTGTGCCCTTTATTTTAAAATGTAATTTGTTTTATTAGTTATTGATTCAGTTCAATCTATAAAGTGCTGTTATTTTCTACTATGAAATATTTTTGAGGTGAAAACTGACTTAAATTGGATTAAAATAAGTTGAAGGGACCTAGGACATGTCAGATTTGACTGTAGTTTTGTCATCGTGGAAATATTGGCAGTATTTAATCCAGCACTGCTGTGTTTTAATATATACATACATATGTATATGTACGTAAAATTTTAATGAAGGAATTACCCTATTTTGGTTTTAAAGTTTGAAGCTGGTAACTGAAAGTAATATGCAATGCCAATAAAACATTCTTCACAAATTGATTCATTTGATTTTGATATCCTTGATTTTATTAGTGTTTATCAATTACAGTAAGGCAGTTCCAGATAGTAAATGGTACTGTTAATTACAGAACAAAATATAATGGTGTGCTTCTACCATGTTTTTGACCTTTGTATTGGTCTATAAAGGTCGGCTGCACTTTCTTTTTTGAGGTTGTACAAAATAGAAAATATTAAGTAAATGAGGGTGAAAAGAACCATACGAAATACTGAGTTAAAACACTGATCTGTCCCGTGAAATCTAAACTTGCATTTTAGTTTAACAAAGATAAGGCTGCTGCCTGCTGATTGTAAGGATATGTCTAAAATGAGTTTTAGTGATCTTAATTCTGTTCTTAGTGTGCATAGTGGAAAACTGCCCCAAATAAGTGGTATTGTTCAGAGACTGAGCCAAATTAGAGAAAAGAAAGAGCCTTAATACCTGGCAGTACAATACTTTATCAAGGAATGCAACAATAGTAACACTGGTATTCCCTTCATGCTTCCCATTCCAAGTGCAGGCTGGGTGTGAGTCTTTATTGTGAAAAGCCCAGTTCTCTTTTTAAAAAAATTATACGCATTCACTGCCTAGCATGAACATAATGATCTGGACTTTATTACAAAAAAATAGAAAATGCTGGCATACTCGGTTGGCAACATCTGTGGAGAGAGAAACAGGTTAGATGTAAGGAAAAATTTTTATGCAGGAAGTAGTAATAATCTTGCACTCGCTGCCTACAAAAGTGGAAGTGGAAAGTGGCAATGATTTCAAAAGGAGACTGTATGGGCACTTAAAGGAAATAAACTTGTAGGGTATGGGAAAGGATCATGGGAATTGGACTGAGTGGATTGCTCTACAGAACTGGCATGGA